AGCTATTGAGTTATTACTATATATTATATAGTTATTCAAATGTCACACCCTCATTATATACAACTCAATTCAAATGTAAAACTAACAGCGGCCATTGAATCCAAACGATTCAGAATGAAAAGTCATGACAGTAAATTGGAAAAAGTAATGTAACAGGGTTTTGCTCAGCTTTCCCTCAAAATTATACTACCATTCACAATAGGGAAACACCACTGAGCCAGGAAGAACATCTGAGAATTATTTAAACACACAAACTCCATGCCATTCTTTTGAAACAATTTTGCCACCTGTATAGCTTACAATCTGACCCATGTCACCAAAAAGACCCCGTACCTTGTGAGATGTGTATGTTTTACATGACATCAGTTCATTTGCAGGGCACAGGCTACAAAGGTGGTTTTATCTTCAGTTCTTTGAGACATTTCACAAATTATGGTGGTAATGGGGCAACAGTGGTTAGAGCATTGGCCTTTGGGCCCAAAGGTTGTGGCTTTGAGCCCACCACGAGACCTTCTCCACATAATCCTACTGATGTCTGCTGTCATTGTGTCCTTGGGCAAGACACTGAACCCACTTTGCCTCAAAGGGGCGCGGAAGTGATGTTCGCTGCATGTCTTGTCATGTATGTGTATGCAACAAACTGAAATTTCCCCATTGTGGGAGGAATAAAGGGCACAGAAATAAAAAATCCATTTGACCGTTTTAAGGATTGTGAGGAGCACAACAGAAAAAGTGAACACCAATTTTATTTGTGTTAAACGTGCAACTCGACTCAAGGGCCACTTCCAGCTCGATACCCAAGATGAGACTATGGAGTGTTTCATGTAACGCCTTAAAACCCCGAGTTGTGTGGTTCTCTATGCATTGTTCTTGTTTTTATATTGATTTTATGATTCTGCTCTTATTTGATTTCACTGGTTACATGGTTTTAGAACAAGTGAAATCAAATTGAGTAATGTTTACTTCGTTTGGTCCTGGTTTTAGAGATGGATGTGGAGCACTTTGTGTGTCAAGTTTGTAAAATGTGCTTTATAAATAAAGTGGATTGGATTGAAACAACGACTGAGTGAAGTCAAAAGCAGAAGAGCACATCACTGGTTATTCTGGAGTTTCCTTTGGTTTTTGTCAAGTTTCAAACTCGAAGTGTCTTGTGCTGTCCGAGTCTAATTGACCCACCAGTTAATCACAGGTGTGATTATACCCAAAATAATTGTTTTTCAAATGAATTTTTATGACTTTCCCTAACTTGACTGGCCCCCACTCATTTAGACCCTAGCTTTTCATCGATCCGAAGGAGCCATGGGTCAGAGCGACCCAAAAGGATGTTTGAGGGATATGCAGTTTCTAAAAACATGGAGCAAAAAAAAAAAGTTTGGAATGTGTTCATGTGTCACAGTTTATTGTGTCCTTAGGCAAGACACCGACAAAGCCTATGGCGTCTCAAAGACAAAAAAGGATTGGAAAAATGTGACACCAATAAGCAAATGCCGATCATGTCTGTGAAAGTAGCAGAATGGAGCCTGGTTGGTAGACTCTTGTACTAAAAGATGCTACAGTCCAAACTGTTGTGTGCTAAGGGAATCCATTTCACAGTAGGTGGTGGTATTTTCAGGATCTACCACAAGGAAGCTATAGCAACAGTAGCAGCCAATAATAAGGTAAAGTTATTGAAAAGGCACAGAAACTGAAAGACCTTAGATAAGTCCCCATCAAGAAAAGCCTGATAAAAGTCTCAAACATTCTACCTAATAATCTTTGGGAATAAAACTGTTAAAAAAAAACAAAAAAACAACATCCAGCTAGCAGCTATATGTGTCACTCCAGCCTCCTTCAGAATTCAGTGGGTTTGTCAGCAATTAATTGTACAATGCAACGTCCCCTCATGAATGTATCTCGATGTCCCTCGCCTTAGAAGGCAGTGAGTGCATGTACCGTATATGAACAACTATGAGGAGCCGTGTTCCATTGTGTGTCCAACGCTTCTCCTTTGTTGTACCATACTCCTGAGCACACGGCTTAGTGCTGATGTGACAAAACCACATGTTCTTAGCTTTGAACAGCCAAGATGGCCACCGCCTCTTCAGTTTGTCACTCTTTAAGGCAAAATGTGTCTCAACATAAAATACATATCATGCATTTAATGTCTATGTTGGTTTTGTGCCGTATGTAGTTTTAGGAACTATTTTGCTCGACTTGGGATTGTACTAGGTTCTATTCTAGAAAATCAATACTGATTTTTAAATAACAGTGGATAATGTCCGGTGAGTTTTTAGATGTATCTGTTCTTTCTCTTCAGATGTTTAAGGCTTCTCCATTTATGAAACAAGACCAGATGAATTACAGTGGGCGGCCACTAGGGGGAGATGTGGATACTAGTCTGAAATCAAACAGCAGCAAATCTAGTGAAGGCCTGTCTTCAAGCAGTCACAAATGAATTGCTAGAATAATGGCCTCATACCAAAGTACATTAGTGACATGTTAGTCCCTTATGAACCGGCTCAGACCCTGAGGAGCACAGGAAGTAGCCTCTGGGCCTTTGGTGCCCAGAGTCAGAACTAGACAGGGGGAGGCAGCGTTTCAGATTTATGCAGCTAAAATCTGGAGCAACTTTCCTGAAAATGTGAAGCTGGCGTCTACTCTTGCATTTTCAAATCCAGGTTAAAACTAGTTTAGCTGTGCATACAACTGAAGGATTTTGTATTTACTCTTTCTATACTTTCTCTATTATTCTGGGAATTTTTTCTGTTTTTAATATTTCTTGTTATCTTAATCTTTGATTTTATCAATTTTTTTATGTAGATTTTAATGTTTGTGATTTGCCTGATGTGATGTGGGTTGTGAGGCGCTTTGTGTTGCCTTGCGTAGGAAAGGCGCTCTACAAATAAAAGTTGATTGATGGAATAAAGCAAGTGACAAACGTTCAACCATGTGTAGATCATTTTGCCAAATCTTGGCAACAAACAGTGTTGAGAACAGTGTTAACCAATCAAAAGAAGTGTAAGTCTGCTTCTTGTGTACACTGAAAGATGAATCAGTGGAACATTCATAAGGAGGAGGGGATGCACATGGAGCTCTATGTATGTGAGGTTCTCCCAACAGAAATAAATGTATTGCTATGAACAATTTCAAACCTATTGCATTGTTTTGTATCAATGGCATCAGAGTCGTGTGCTGCAGATCCAGGTTTACACGTTTGCAAAATAAGTGCTTTGTGAGTTAAGGATGATGAAAAATCTTATTTTATAAAGATATTGTATCTTTTAAATGGGAATATGGTCTTTAAAATGTTGCATGAAACAGAAGTAGAATCCAATGCCTATGAAACAAGCTAATCGTAGACATATTTGAGCTTAGCACTTCTGCATGACGTGCACAGGTTACTGGAACTTTGTAACAGTCAACCGAAAACTCTTTTGAATGGGCAAAAAGTCCTAAAATCACAAGAAGCTGAAACCCATGCACCTGATGAGAACGGCCAAAAAGAAGATTTGCAATGAAAGTGTTTTTTTTTTTTTGTTTCCACCAAATGGGCATTTGCAGAATACCTGAATGTTACGTTTTCATTTGCGCACAGGCTGTTTAGGTTGGCCTGAAAATTAAAAGCAAAGCAAATGACTGAATATGGCCTTTTGTCATGAATAGTGTGATGCAGTAGTTTGGTGGTCCATCCTCCATCCACTGCTGATAAACGCACACCCTGTTGTTTGCATTTCCACTTCTCCACAGGTCAGTCATGTTGCACAAGTGATTGTGAGCGTTTAAAGGATCATAATACCGTGAGCTGACTATCACCATACACATGTTACTAAAGGCTTGTATGTACATCTTGATCTCCAAATGGGACTTTTGGCACTGCCATCTTCTCACACCCACCACTTTGTACAAGGGATGAAGTAATCTTCTTTGTCCTCCTCACCATTGTAGATGTGTGTGTCTTGTATTTGTGTAAGGCATCAGGATTTATAGTAAAGAATATAACTTCAAACCATCAGTGGGGTATCAGACCCCCATTACATAAAAAGGTATTGCGTAAAAGATGGAAGATTTGTCTGTGTTTGTCATTGTCTTGTACTTTTTGCTTATGAGTATTTTGAATTTATGATTTAAAAATATGTATATGTATATGTAGAACTGCTATTTTTTGTGTGATGGAGAATTACTAAAATTAACATTTCAGGGCTCGACCTTGTCGGTTTCACTTAAAAAATTACTGAAAAATCTTTGATTTATCTGTTACAATTATGTATACAATATTAGAGGCAACACTAAGCACATGGCTAAAAAAGGCACACATTCTTCCGCAGTTCTGCAGTCTGCTAGGATTGCACTGCTCCATGAAGATATGCCAGAGGTAAAACAGACCATCTGTGTTAGCGGCTGAAACAATCTGCCCAGACCGAAGGCGGATACAAAAACCAATATTGGACCGGGACGTCCCTTGATTTTGTATGATTGACTTGGCTTAATATTTATTCTGTTGGTAATCTCAACAATTGACTACAGGTTCTCAAAACATTGTCCTTGATGTCACCATCCTTGACTGTCATGTTCCACAAGCCAAGCCAGCCATAGGACCGTTTCATTGTATTCAACGGAGAAAGTTGCCGGTTATCCATTTGATTGTAACGTGTTAAAGTGGATAAAGTGGTGTTATTTCTTAAACAAAATGAACAATGGGAAATCGTCAAGTAAACGATTTGAAGAAATGCAGAACAATCCCCTGCCCCGAGCAAAGCAGATACTAAACATGTGGACTTTAAACATCATATAATAATGGAACACCTTCTCTGTATGGAATACAATGAGACATCTCTTCTACGATCACAGAGAAGGGAGTTCTTTGATAATGTTGTGAAACACTTGCGCCAAGTCGATGGCCATATTTAAAGAAAGTTGAAACAAATGGACAGGAGAGTCATACTTACCAACTGCAGCCCCCTTATCTTTCAGAGTGTGGTGCAGTGTAATGTTTATGTGAGTGAGTTGCCGGGGGTACATACAGGCATTACACTGTGTGGCCTGAGCCTCAGTGATACTGGGGTTACAGGTTTGACTGGAGTGTGACTCTGGCTTTTCCTCCTCTTCCACAGACTCCTCCGGAACTTCTCTGTTGGCCAATCTCTTGGACGCCCGACTAGCCCTCTGCGACTGGAATCACATATTTAGATCTCAAGGAATGGTCTTTTGCACATTTGTTGCTCAATTAAAATGTTTGCAGAATAACAACCTAGAAACAGATGCTAACCTTTGCAGGGGGTTGTGGAGGGGCAGCCTTCCTCTGTGCTCGTGCTCTGGTCTTGGGTGATTTGGGCACCGACAAATTTTTGATGGTGGCAGCGGCGTGCTGCATTATGCAGTCACTGCCACAGTAAACAGACTCCTGCAATGCAGGTTTGAAGCAGTCAGGTCCAATACAGACCGGGGAAGTGGCCTGGGATACTGGGGTTGGCGCTGGTTCTGTTTTGTATACTGGTAATAAAGGGCTCTCCTCCACCTCCATCATCTCCAAAGAGTTCTAAAACCAGACACTTACATCAGAATACAGAAGTCCTTATACGTGAGAAGAGCCAATACCACAACACCCATAGATAGGTCAAAGTATCAGAATCCTGAACTTGACTGCAAAGCACCATTGAACCGCTTTAAAAAAAAAAAAAACCTTCATCTCTCATCTTTTTGATGCTTTTTTCCAAAAAAAAGTGCCAATCAGAATCAAAGCCCAAAACATTTAACATTACGCTTCCATTAGAGTAGTAGCTAAAACATATTTTTGTAATCTAAATCGAATGTGCCATTAAACTTGATACTTTCCACAAACCACTCTTAAACATATGCCAGATAAGATAATAAAATGCAAATCTGGTTGAAATAACATTCATCCATATAAAATCTCAAATGCAAAATGAAATTGAACAATATTAAAATCAGCTCAGTACCACAATTAGTCCAGTGTGATCCAGTTTTGGTTTAAAGTCATTAAATAATCATGGTAAAGCTTTTTGTAATCGAATAATTCTATTAACTTGATTAATCGTTCCATAACAGTACAACCATAAATACTGAAATTGACCTGATTCTGTGTTGAGTTTACTCACTGAAATGGACAGAAAGAGAGGAAGAAATAGGCCTTAAAGGTTTGAAGACCGCAGCAATCAATGTTTCCCACATTGATTAGATACTGTCTTCAAACCATAGCTTAGAGCTTTGTATTTAGCTTTATCAAATAGACATTGTAATTGATTTCAAACACACTATAATTGTGTGATGTATGCAAACAAAATTTACTGTGGCAGATTAACAAATAAAAACTGAGCTGAAGTAAAGACTCTGGGGCTGTGAAAACTGATCCATGAATGATCCAATGAAAAATCTTGCCTACATGTGTAACCTTTGATAAACATTTAGACATGTTTTTTCACCTGGGTCTGTTGATTCTCTAGTTCTTCATTGTCCTCAGCAGGTGGACTCTGTATCATGCTTTTCAATGGGTTCATCCCGAGATCAGGGGGAATGGAGAGATCTGCCTGGAGGAGGTTTGGTTCAATGCAAACCAAACAAACATACTCTTTTCCTTCAGTCTTCATATCGCCAACACAATCACCATGGAACCAGCCCTGACAACTGGTGCAGCAAATCATAGATCTAAAGGCAATTAGTGATGGTTAAACATCAAATAAATGGCCCCGTAAAAGCAAGGACAAGTAAAATCCTACCGGTTATCTTGTGTTTGTTCACAGATGCGACACACCACATCTGGGTCGGGCACGTACAACATGTCTGTTACACTTTCTTCCCTCCCGACATCGGCAGCGTCATCAAATTGACCAGCAATGGACTGGTCTTGCTCAACCATGCAGTCTGACTGGTGAGGAGGACTGATGTTCAAATTAAAACACATTTCTGCCATTTCTGCAGGAACTTGTGGATTTAAGCCTAGTTCATCATCTTCCACCTCATGTACTGGCAGCTCGGGTAAATCACTAAAAGCTAATTCATAATTATTATTGGACTTTATTTGAGCGGTTTTGCCCCGCCCTCTGCCTCTTCCCTTTCCCTTACCCCGCCCACGCCCTCTCCCTTTACCCCGAGCCTTGCCTCTCCCACTCTTTGTAACTTTAGTCTGCTCTTGTATTTCATGTGTTTGTGTAATATCTAATTCAGTCATTTCAGTGTTGCTCTCTTCCTTGCTAGAAATAGAGACACAATCATAATCCACTTTTGGTTCTAAAGACATTTTTAAATCCTCCAAAACATCAACCGCTTGTGAGGGAAATTCTCTTTCTTCAAGTGGCTCTGGAAGTGGTGCTTCTGGCTCATCATCGCTGACTCCTATGAGATTCTGGGTTGCTACCGCCTGTCCCATGTCCAATAGAGAACCATCTGTACCACCAAGTAAGGAGAAGGCCGTGTGGAAAGCAGAACCAAAACTCTGCCACATGCTGGGGTCCATACTTGCCCCTGTGGAGGGTTCAGAGGGGGTCTTACCCTCCTCTGATGCCGGAGATGAGGGAGCAGACCACTCCAGCTCATCCAGATCAATTTTGCTTGAACATGATGCCTTTTTTTTGTCCTGGGCCGAGGGTGTGGTCTGTAATGATGTTTTGCTTCTGCGACCTCTGCTTTTTCTTACAAGAGGAGGACTGGTGTTTACATCACCCACCTCCTCCATGAACTCTCTTTTAGCAATGGTTGATCTTCGAAAACCCCAGGACTTTTTGAACTGCGCCAAACTTGGTTTATTGCTTGGGTTTGTTTCAGACTCAGGCTGTTGTTCCACTGGATAAAAGAATAAAAATAAAAAGATAAGTATATGCAATGTATAACATTTAATAAGCAGACCTTTTGTCAATAAAAATGTCAAAGTCAGTGCCAAGTACAAATAATGAGGATGTGATGTTTTTACCTGGACTGCTACAGTCCGTGGGGCTGTCCATTATAGAAGTTATCTAAAAAATAAAAAGAACAAATAAAAATGTTAGATGGGAAGTACATCTAATGCCTGGGTGCTTTATATCAATTGATTATACAATGAAATGGCAATAAAGTACAGAATGCCTTAGATAATGATAATACTTAAAAACTACATTGAATATTGTATGGAAATGGGATGCAAACAATCAGAAGTAACCCTGATAAGGTCTAGATACAAATAGGTTTGTTTTAACATGATTGTGATAGCTACATAAGTTAGAATACAAATGGGTAATGACAAAAATGTAGCTGAATAAATAGAGAAAACAGCTGTTACTAGTCCAAGGTCTCAGTAGGTGCAGTAGACTGGTAGTAACTGGTCTGCTGCGGCGTAACATGATAATAATGATGCATCATGTGCTGCTTTGGCGCAGCCCTCACAAAACACTCTCAAACCGAATATCAACGTGCATCGGGTCAGGACAAACATAACAACAGCAAGCATACCTCGGTTTTGTCACAAGTCGTCCTTGAGAATCATTTTGTAACGAAGGCGGTTAGCTAGCGCGTACGAGCCATAAGCTAGCGCCGTCCTCCATTTTCACTGATGTTACCTTTGAGCTCACGCGACACTCCGCGGGATTCTCGTGCGGTTCACTGAGGGGAACACAGAGGGGTCTGTGGCCCAGTCCCACACTGCACCCTACGCCCTCCTATGACGTGTGCATTTGTTTGAAGTGCGCGCAAGGGTTTGAGTGCGCAGGTTGCAAGCGTGCACAAAAGGCGGAATTGAGTGCAGGTTACGTCATCGACTCGTCAAGAGATGGTCATTTTCAGACCTAAACTTTATAAAAATTAAAGGTAACTTTGTCTGACCCTTTGGGAAACAAAATGAATTGCTTCACACACGTTAAAATACATGTATATTAGTTGTTTTTAATTAGAGATAGCTGTATAATTTTAAGTTAAATGTGGGTAACTAACTATCTGGTCAGTTTTTATACATTCTAAGATTATTGTACTAAGTGTAAAGTTTAAATTGGATGTTATATAAACGTTTGCTTTAAAAAGTTATTAAATTGCTTGCTTGCAATCACTTGACGCATAAACTTCCGGTTGACGGAGTGGTGGTCAGGCCAGCAAGAGTTGCTGCTGATATATGAAGAAAATGCGACTCTTCCGAGTATTTTTTCCTTTTTTAGATATTTCATGACACTTTGAATCTACTGTGGTGAACGTTCTAACTCATCATTCTAACAATATGCACAAGGCAGAATTCTTCCACTACATGTTTTGGTAATATCAAGGTTGAAGCTACTGGCACAGCGGTAAATGCTAATAAGTCTCCATTCCTCCGCTGTATGTCACTTACATTCTGTAACGTCTTTGTTTATTCTGCCTCTACCATAGACAATAAAACATTTCTTCTGTCTGAATTAAAGACAAGTTCCTAGACTGTCTTTTTATTCACTTTAGATTCTAACCCACAGCTAGTGTTACAATCAAGCTTTTGCACTGCTAAACAAATGAAGGTTTGGATAAACACGGATACTGCAACTTTTCCGTCTGTCTGTGGGTTTAAGAACTCAGAGTTGAGGTCCTGAAGGACAAATCCTGCATCGTACAGAGCCGTGTAAGTAAGGATTGGTATGAATTTATCATTCTCAACAAAACGATGCGTCTGTGTTCTTTTCAGGTCAAACATTCACAGTGTTTATTTAAAACACCAACTCATACCTGACAATGAATGAAATAAAGATGGGGATGTAATAACTGTGCATTGTGACTGCACGGCTGGGTAAATAATTAATCCTTAGAGGTAAAAGCGTCTGCTAGTGAAATGTTAGCGAGCCACTTTTCCTGCGTGTTTTCGTAAAGTCCTTATTGTGAGGCTCTTTATTCATCTCTTCACAAGGAATCCTAAAGTATCCATTAAAGGTTTCACAATTCGATCGGTTAGAAAACTTAAAACAACACATGCAAAAGGCAGATTCAGACACGCTGCTCTAGTGAACAACTAGCTCGGCTGACCACCAGTCCGTGATACGCATATGTAATGAGGCGGAGGGGGTTTTCCAATATGGCGGAGTGAGCGGTAAAACTTTCAATAAGCTCTGATATTAACTTGATTTAAAACCTTCTGTCAGGGATGAAGCAGACAGAGACGGATCGTGGTGCGCCAAACTCTGGAAGTTTATTTAAGTTTCTCTCAAGTTCCAGTGGTTTCCTTTGTTTCCTTCTCTCAGACAGAATAAAGGCAGTACACAGTTTATATAGTCATTGTCACGTCACACATGGAAAGACATACGTGTCACACAGAGACAGTCACATCATAGTCATAACATGGAGTCCTTGTAGAGTCCTGCACGTAGGCCATATTGCTATCTAATACTAACACTCACCCCTTTGATCACATAATCACATGTGATCACTCAAGTTGATCAATCAATAAAGTGGAGAAAAAAAAAAAACTTAAAAAAATTATTCAAAAACAAAGAAAATGTATGCATTAAACTCATAATCATCAAATCAATATCAGTGGATTTTATCCTCTATCCTGGGGAAAAAAACAAAACAAAAATAAAGTAAATAAATAAACAAAAAACAACAAACAAAAATAAAAACAAAAAAACTCTAATGGACACAGTAGAACTCAGCAGATTCAGTCAAAACACAGACAAAAACGAACTGAGTCTCAATTTGGAAGCTAATTTCACTTTTCTTACTCTATACGTTTATTCTAATGCTAATTGTTTACACTTCACTTCACTCACTTTATTATTTTCACTTTTCAATCTTAGACTGTGTACTTTACTTTACTATTCACTATAGTTTAAAACTATTCTAATCTATTTACAAATATGTTTGCATTTTTGCTTTTATCGAGCCATATTCTTAAACATATATTTTAATCTAATAAATCTCTCTGTAGTATTATACTTTCATTATCAGTGGCTTTGTTAGTGGGATTTTGCTCTATGTCTATTCTACATTCTCAGGAATAAAACTGAACACAGAAAGACAAATGGTTAATATGAACATTATTGTGGCGGTCAGTTTTCCAAATACATTTGTTGAACCAGGAAGTGCTGTCACTTCCTCCTCTCAGGTAGTTTGGGATGAATGTACATCATTAATCAAATTAGTATTGTCCTTACAAGAGCTAATCTATTTTAGCAGGTTTGGGGTTGGGGTCAGTTATACAATGGTGTTTGATTCTCTAATCTGTGCTGACAAATCGACAGCTTTTTAAACTTCTCAAAGATCTCAATATCTACTATTTTGTTTTTGGGCTATACCCAAATGCATCAAAATGCTTTTAAATGCTTTTGACTCTCTGTTGGTTGTAATCTATCTCATTAATCTAGGCTACACTCATGAACTTTTTGTATTGTCAACATTCACCAATGTTTGAACACAAGTGAATTTGGCAAGTATCTAATAAAACTGTAAGTAAAACTGTAATGAACTTTATTTACTTCTGAAGTAAATGCTTGTGAAATGGTCCCTTTACCATTTGATATTAGCACTGGCTAGAAATAATCTCTATTTTTGAAAGCATCTATGGTTGATGCTTTTATCTATTTCTATTTTTTAACTCAAAAGCTTGGCTGCAGCTTGAGCAAAGGCATATTTCTAATCTGTGACTTCTGTCACTTTTAATGGCTGTAACATAACTCTGATTCTAATATTATAGCTGATCTATCAAAAGGATAACATTGTATGGCACTATTTTAACTCTTATGTGGAAATGTGTTTATGAACAACAAAGGAAGGACAATTCTACTCTTTTACTACTATTTAACATCTACTAAAACGCTACAATACTTATACTTTATCATTTTCAAAGTTTTTGTCTGTCAGATGTCTGAATACTTAACATGTATATTGCATTTGTCACAGTTGTGGTTCTGGTTGTAGCAATAGCATCGGCAATAGACGTTTTCATTGGCTGGTTCTTGTTCTGCAAATCGCTGTGTCCAATAGATCACCAGATGTCCAGAAGCTAGGGACAAACAAAAACAAAAGAAAGAATCATGAGTATCTCTCTCATTTAGCACTCATCAATGGCATTATTTCAATAATATAAACATCACTCCCCAGTTTTCTCTCTCTCAGATCCTCAGGTCCTCAGGGTCCCCTGAGGGTGAGTCTCAGTCGTCATCAGGTCAGGTCATCTTGGACATCAGTAGGGTCCAAGCCATGGTTCTGGTTCTGGTCTCCAGATGCACATCAGATCTCCAGATACAGTCTTTTCAGTTGAAGCACATCAGGTCACTTGGGATGCACTTCTGGTCAATGGTGCAGTCTCAGTTCCTGTACACAGCTTTTTATGCAGTAGTTACTCTCTATGGTTAAGTCACTTTGATTCTACTTTAACACAATTTCTATTCATGCTGTTGCTAATGTCTCTCAGACAAAAGCAAGCGCAGTTTACTTCTCTAATTTGTGTTTTTATCAGATCTAATTCTAATCAATGTAATTACTTCACACAGTACAAAATCAAAACATCAAAAGTGTCAGGACAGAGGTCAATTAAGTCCATGAAAATATAGAATTCAAATGAACATTTCTGGTCTCAAAAAATACTGATTCAAGTGATAGACAATTAAAAATATGTGTTTACATTGGAGTAAACTTTTAAAATGCTTTTTCTCATGTTCTGCTTTTTCATGTATCTATATGTAAATGTGAATGTGTGAGTGTATGAGTGTGTATGTGTGTGTGTGTGTGTGTATGAATTATGGGGTTGTGTCTCCAGACTCCACGAACCACCTGCAGGTCTCAAAGGTCACACTGTGGTGATGCAAACCAACTGGACACACTCTCAACTCCCTCTAGGTCTCTACCTGACGCTCCACCCATCACGTCTCCAGATACCTCTCTTTCATGGCCCCGGTCTCTCTCACACCCACTCAGTTCTGCAGTGGCGTGGGGAGGGGCAAGGAGGTGGCATTTTCCTTTGCTCTTTGATCTGTGACCTGTGGCTGGGTGGGCTTTGCGCTGTCCAGTGTCCAGCAGTGACCCCTCCCACAGTGTGCCAGAGTCTGAAAAACAATCCTTGAAACAGCCAATTTAAAAAAACAATAGATATCAGTATGCGAATGAGATTGTTTTTCTCTCTGAAGTCAAAAACAATTTGAGCGCTCTTGGCTTTCCCAAGCGCTATGTAAATAAAGATTACTTATTCTCTTACTAATGATGACATTTTAAAACCAGAAACTAAAGAAGTTATCAAAACAACAATTATACTCAAAACAAACAACCTTTTAAACTTTAAAACATGTATTATATACTTTTGTACTGTGTGATGTTTTTAATCTTGAACATCTTGGGTTTCACTTTATGGACTTTCCCTTTTACACTTATTTATCTCAGCATCTATTCTACTAATTTAAAATAATTGCAGCATTTTTCAAATGAAGTCAGTATGAATTGGAGCACATTTTAGACCAGTCTCCTGTGCTGCGTGCATCTGCAGCAGGAGGAAGGTCAGGTGCATAGTCAAAACAAAAACAAAAGTCACCACTTGAATGTGAATTGGGTGAATTGGGTAGTTTAACTTAATAATATAATACTTTTACAGCCTAATTCTCTCTTTCTTTTTTAGACGAAGTCTACAATCATTAATCACTTTTAACAGATTCTAATTTAAATGTTTGAAAAACGGCTTTTGTAACTAAAATAAAAAATACATGAAAAAATTCTCACAAACAGCTATGAAATATATCAGAGATACAATAATGGACTCACAAAATAAGCAGCAGATTTAAAAAGAAAAGCAAAGCTTTTTGTACTAATCTTTGGGTTTCAAAAACATACTAATTCAAAACTTCTATTCCCTAATGGTGTTTAAAAACGTTTAACTGTGTCTAACACAATGTTCAAATGGCAAATTTAGCAAATTTAACGGAATAACTACTATGAAAAGCCAAAAATCCTAAAGCAGTAGCTCCCCTTTAAATCAGAGCAGCAGCTCAGCAGCAGCGAGGGCGGGGGGGTTCCTTTCACACAGACGCGCACACACAGGCAGAAAGACACAGAAGAAGAACTTTCAAGATTAATTTTTTAAGCAAATATAACTGATGTTGTAGTTTATACTTTTGTCATCCAAATCTAGAAGTGATCACTTTCCACACTAGTAACAAAAGGCACTCTTTAGTGTTTAACGTTTCCCTTTTTATAATTACTTTTAATTCACCATGGTTTCTCTCAAAGGGACTTTAACCCTGAAGCTTCTTCTCAAAGGGACTTTAACCCCGAGGCTTTTCTCAAAGGGACTTTAACCCCGAGACTTTCTCAAAGGGACTTTAACCCCGAGGCTCAAAGGGACTTTAACCCCCGAGACTTTCTCAAAATACAATTTAGAGAGTTTGACAGACCCCAAAAAACAGACCAAAATTTAGCTAATATCCAATTATGCAGACTTTACATATTAAAAAAGGTGTCTGCTTACCTTATTCTTGTCAAACCGGTTCCAAGGACTGTCCGAGAGGTCTGCCAACTCTTTTCCGCGTCGGAATATTCAATTTAAACACAAAACAGAGAAAGTGAGGGAGCAAGAGCAAGCCCATCCAAAAGCGAGCCCTTTCAGCGTCCGCTGGGATTTCTCCCCTTCCAGATAACGTGCTGTTGCTCCCACACGCCGAAAAAAAGAAACAGAGGAAATTCTCTCAAAACAATCCAGAGAATGGCACAAACCGAGCCGCGCATTCTCCACCAAATCTGTAAGGATTTAGCAGACAGAGACGGATCGTGGTGTGCCAAACTCTGGAAGTTTATTTAAGTTTCTCTCAAGTTCCACTGTTTTACTCTGTTTCTTTCTCTCAGACAGAATAAAGGCAGTACACAGTTTATATAGTCATTGTCACGTCACACATGGAAAGACATACGTGTCACAAAGAGACAGTCACATCATAGTCATAACATGGAGTCCTTGTAGAGTCCTTGTACAGTCCTGCACGTAGGCCATATTGCTATCTAATACTAATACCTCCCAGTAGCACACCACCAGCTGTACTGATTAATGATCAGAGCACTGGCTAAAAAAATGCCTACACTCACCTAAAGGATTATTAGGGACACCTGTTCAATTTCACATTAATGCAATTATCTAAACAACAAATCACATGGCAGTTGCTTCAATGCAAGTGCCATGACTGGACTGGACCTATTTTAGGTCCAGTCCTTTTTAACCTGTACATGCTCCCTCTTGGCGGTGTCATCAGGAGACATGGAATTAACTTCCACAGATGATACACAGCTGTACATCTCCATGTCTCCTGACGACACCAGGCCAATGGATGCTCTTTTTAACTGCATTTTAGACCTGAAATCCTGGATGGCAGAAAACTTTCTCCAGCTTAACCAGGACAAAACTGAGGTTTTAGTCATCGGTCCTGAGGCCCAGAGAGAGAAACTTTTATCAAAACTCCAATCACACTCTTTTAATCCATCATCACAAGTGAAAAACCTCTGCGTAATTTTTGACTCTGAGCTGACTTTTGTTCCTCACATCAAGAACATCACAAAAATAGGTTATCATTTAAATGATACTTCAAATGGCCCGCTGTATGAAATGTTATAATCTGATATGAATGACTGTTATGATGTGTACATACACATTACATATTTTCCCAATATTGTAAGTAACTTTATTTTGTGTGATATCACCAGTGGAAGTTGCTAGAAAGAAGCAGCCTCCTAATTCCTGACCAACAGTTCCATCACATTAACATGGTGGACCAAAGTGTCTTTATGTCATGTATTTCCTGAAAGTGCAAAGTTGATATACAACAGCTATTCATTCGATGCATAGTTAACAAGTCTAACAAAATCCATAATACAACATCAAACTATTATTTCCATACATTAATAGTGAAGAGTGTTAATTCAACACAAGTTGTCACATGCACAGTTTGCTGAACCATTTTTCAGCCTTAATAAAAACATTGCCTCTGACAATGTTTGACAATCTTCTGGAAGACGGGTTTACAGACAGATTTTAGCTGTATGTCACTGAGATGCATCCGTGTTTTCCATGTTTGGTCCAAACTGTTAGCACAGCCAGCACAGTTTTACTCTGTACCTATGTGACAGAGTGTTCTTCAGGACAATGTTATTTATTACCAGCACTTCATGTAATGGGCCATGGTGCATGTCATGTAAACAAGATCCACTGAAGGGGAAGGGAATCGTATTTGTATAGCGTTTTTATATGACACAAGTCACACCCAAAGTGCTTCACACACGAAGGGGAGGGGGGTTCATTCACTCCATGCTGATGGTGGTAAGCTACATTTGTAGCCACAGTTATCCCCTGGGGTAGACTGACAGAAGCGAGGCTGCACACATCTGCGCCAACGGTCCCTCCGACCTGGTGATCAAGAAGCTCTGTAACACACAAAAAATTAAGAGGATTATATTCATATCATAATACAAAGGTTTATTTGAATAAGAGCTGCGTGTCAGGGTGACAGAGAAGGACCAGTTGTGTGTTATATGCACAATATCATGTACTTCTTGCATAGTAAAAAGCAAATGATCACATGACAATTGCATTCATAAAATGAGCTCAGTCTGTCTACCTGTACAATCTTATAATAGGCTACATGTACACCACACAATGGATCTACATAGCTTTCAATGGGCCTACTCTGTGTGACACACATACTGTACATACCTGCTAATAATGTTACAGAGTGCCTCTAGATCTTATGTGAGTGTATGAATGTGTTGCACACTTTTGGGGTACGAGCAGATTCGGTTAGTATTAAATTAGATTTAATAATGCATCGGTTTTATATAGCGCTTTTCTGGACACTCAAAGACACTTTACATTGCACTATTCATTCACTCCATACTTGATGGTGGTGAGCTACTATTGTAGCCACAGCTGCCCTGGGGGAGACTGACAAAAGCGAGGCTACCAGTTTGCGCCATCGGCCCCTCTGACCACCACCAACCACTCATCACATTCGCTAGGCTTTCTGGTGTTACCAAACGGTCTCCCATCCAAGTAGTAACCAAGCCCTTCCCTGCTTAGTTTCCAAGATCTGACGGGATTGGGCAGAGCAAAGGCGGTATGGCCACAGATTTACTCCAGTGCAGTAACAAGTAATGGACTTTTTAACTACTACTTGCAGCTTTCTCATATGGTGCAGTATACTACTTGAGTAGAATTGGCATTAACAAGAATTGGCATTGACAATGTAATTTTGTCAAGCAAACATTACATACATTAATGTTTTTTTTAAAACAAAACTTCAAATTTTTCATTGGATGAATGAGCTGAAACTATTTTCTAAATATTATTATTTATTATTGATTAACACCCAAAATGCAGTGAAACTAGCTTCTTTTATAGTCAATCTTGTAGAATGATTGCCCTTATAGTTCATTTTCTTATTATATTATATTTCATTTATGACATGCCCGATGTTCTTCTGTTGTTTTTATTTGTTTATTTATTTTCTAAGATGTGCACTGCAGTCCCTTTAGTGACATTTCTACAGAAATTATTTTAATAATAATAAAGAACAAACTTCTACTTCAATTACTTGAGTTGTTCAGTAACAATAAGGTCTGGTGCAGTAATAATATTCAAATTAAATTGGCTTTATTTATGATTCGCCTGGAAAACTGTTCGCGTATGTTGGTTCTCACATCTTTTTTGTGTTACGAAAGTTATTTCCATGCACATCACCAGCAGTTGTGTAATGATCCTGAAAAGTAGGCTAACACCGCCATCTATTGGAGTGAAGTTGTCATTGCAGTACATACACCAGCCTGATCCCGATGTGGCTGTAGACGTGATCAAAACAAGCACACCGGAAGCTGCCAAATGAGGCTGGCTTGACCTGCAGGATGGTAATCAGGCGGGCTTGACGGCGGTGAAAACTTCCCCACTCCGACACGCATTGAAAGGGCCCATCGCTCCCCAACAATGCCTTACTCTGGATCAAAGGCAAAGCCACGACCGATCCTGGTGAAATTCTTGAGCTTCCAGGAAAAAATCCGTATACTACGCCTAGCCAGAGATAAGTAGGACCTTCGCTTCCAGGGAGCGCGTATCCACATATTTCCTGATTTCAGTGTGGATCTGGCAAAGAAGCGTCGGGAGTTTGATCCAATTAAAAAGAAGTTCCGTGAAATGGAAATTAAGTACTCGCTTCTATATCCATCGACTCTGCGGATCATGGAAAACGGAAAACCACGAAACTTCAAGTCTCCAGCTGATGCTGAAAACTATATCTCCCAAGTGGATGCGTCACTCTCCTCCACGGAGTAAAGTTAGTGAGTAACACTCATGGGAAGGTCATTCGCTCGCTCACATTATAGTTAGCGATACTCTTACGTATGCAACGCTTGAGATATTTTGTTTCATTACTAAGTTACATTAAGTATTTGCCGTAAAATAGGACGCCGTGACGTGATGACGTCAGGTCGTCGTAAAGTTTGATAACTATCTGCTGTATGCCCTCGTTTTCTGTTGATATATTCACGGCTACTTTTCGACATAATATTTGTAAATATCAGGGCCTGTTATATTATATTACATTTGTTTACTAATTTTGATCCTGGATCAGGATAAACATTGTCTCTTCCGGATTTGTTGTCACATTTGTCTTGCTAAATGTCTGTGTGTGTGTGTGTGTGCGTGTGTGTGAGAGCGCGTGTATCAGCTCAGCACTTCTGGCGTCCAACCCGGGGTCCCCCACAAATTATAGGATATTTGATTGGTTAGATTAACACTAAAGGCCTTAAAATAATACATCTAAATGTTAGGAGTCTTCCATCTAAAATCAACCTTCTCCGTGCCTGGGTTGCGCTACACAAACCTAACATCATTACCCTATCTGAAACTTGGCTACACCATAACATTGCAAACTCTGAAATTAACATTGATAATTTCACTATTTATAGGGCTGATCGTGGTGCAAGAGGAGGTGGTGTACTTATATATGTTGACAGTAGCCTTAACTCTAAATGTATTCGTCCTCCAATTGAACCCATTCAATTCGAAAGCCTTTTTGTGAAAGTAATTTTACATGCCAACAAATCATTGATAATTGGTAGTATCTATAAACCGCCTTCATCACAAGCCGATACAATGCAGAATATTTTAAATACAATAAGCTCTCTAGAAATACACAAAACGAATGAACTACTTATTCTTGGCGACTTCAACAAAAACTGGCTAGACAAGTCTTCTGCAAAAGAAAGAAGCCTTGTGAAAAGTGCAAATCTTACTCAAATAATTAATGAACCCACAAGGGTAGACAATCGGTCCTCATCTCTACTGGACTGGATTCTAGTCACCAATCCGGAACGAATAAGTGCATCTGGTGTCATGAGTGATTGTATGAGTGACCACTCCATAATATACTGTGTCTGGAAAATTATGCTTCCCAAGTGTCCCCCTAAATATATCCAATATAGACAATGCAAAAATATGAATGTGGATCAGTTTAAACACGATCTACTTAATATTAATTGGGATCGCCTTTCTCTGATTCCACACATAGATGATGCTTGGGACTTCTTTCACTCAGAGCTTACTACTGTCATCAACAAACACGCTCCAATGAAAAGTAGAAAGGTCAAAGGTAGAGCTTTGCCTTGGCTAAACCCAGATCTCCTCAATCTATATAGACTCAGAGACAAAGCCTGGGAAAAATATCGAGGCAGTAAACATCCTGAGGACTGGGAAGCCTACAGACGCCTGCGCAATGATAGTACCACACAAACTAGAAACTCACAATCTCAATTTTATCAGAAACACTTATCCCAGGACTTTAAAAACACAAAACAATTCTGGAACAAATTAAACTCTGTGCTTAATCGTAAAAATAAGGACCAAATCGAGCATATCTGTATAAACAATGAAATCATATCTAATCCCGCTAAGATTGCTGATGCCTTAAACAAACATTTCTACCTTAGTACCCAGATTCAACCAACCCCATACTGTAAAACAACATATCCAAATGAAACACCTCTATCTTTTTTTTCATTTAAAAGAATCTACCCATGTCAAATACTCAAAGTCATAAATAATATTAATACAAGTGCAAGTGCTGGACCTGATGGATTAGAGGCCAAATTTATTAAATTGGCAGCTGAGATTCTTATATTCCCATTGGCGGAACTGTTTAACCTGTCTCTTGATACTAACTCACTTCCAACAATTTGGAAATGTGCTAAAATAATACCAATTTTTAAGGGTGGTGATGTAACAGATATAAATAATTATAGGCCAATTTCAATAATATGTACAGTACAAAAAATATTCGAAAAACTAATATTTAATCAACTATCATCTTATATTAATGAACATAATATTTTATCACCACTCCAATCTGGATTTAGACCTAATCATTCCACAACTACAGCCCTTATGAATCTCTCAAACGATATATATACTGCACTCGACAACCAAAACATCACAGGAACTATCTTCATTGACTTCACCAAGGCTTTCGATACTGTTGACCACTACCTCTTACTGGACAAGCTTTATTCAATTGGTCTATCCAAAAGTGGCCTTGCTGTGGTTTAACTCCTACTTACATTCAAGAAAACATTATACAACAGTTCGAGGTGAATCATCCTCTACCACCACAGTAGCAAAAGGCGTTCCTCAAGGATCCTCACTTGGTCCACTTCTATTCTCCATATACATAAATGATCTACCAAAAATTATAAATAAATGTAAAGTCCACCTGTATGCTGACGATACGGTTATCTACTGCTCCCATCACAACCTACATCACATACAGTACAGGAATCCCTTCAAAATGAGGGAGAGCTGCAAGAGAGTAGCATTGGAACAGCACACTTGGACAATCTGCACAGCCCTGATTCAGTAGGCTGTGAGTTGCTGAGGACCCATGGACACAACCAGCCGTCCTCTTTTGCCATGGAATAATTGGAAAAAATTGGATTCACAATTTGACATGGATTTGGAACATATGGATTTCTGAAATTGGACATAATGTTCGGACTTTTTTACATGTTATAGCCCTCCGAAGGGGGTAAGGCAGGCAGCACACATGGCATGATCTGTGTTTGTATATTTTGTAAATTTTATTAGAACAAAATGTTTGACACAGGTCATAAACTGGAAAGAATACAGAAATAAACAATTACATAATTGTACCTTTAAATTATCTGACAACTAAATCTGACATTGTTCATTGTAAATAAACATATAGTACTTATTTACATGTAACACAACTAACCATTGTAAAAGCAACTAACAACACATAACGCGCATTTCCAGTGTAGCCGCGGCAAACACCGAAAAAACACACTACCCAGCATGCTGGCGCCGATTGTGCGCCTGCGCTTATGCGTTGCATCTGCTCTCTTCATGTGGTCAGACGGACAAAAACAAAACAATCGCACACAAACAGCGCTCCACACGTGTTCTCATACCCACCCGTGCAGTCTACTCGCCTGCTACAGTCCACCTGTATCTGTGGTTAAATATGACCACGGTCACAGTGAGTGCTCTGGCTGCTGTGTCGCTCTCACTAACGCACCCCAACTACACCTGCACAAAGTGCCGCGGATGTAGCCACACACACTGACCCTAAAACAATGCTGGTAAATCGCTACTTACAGCGCTGGGTGTGTTATGAGCTTTGTACATAACCAAGGGCTGTGTGCTCCTGGACGATGGCATGGTTTGTCTGTTAATTGCAATGTTACAGTCACAGGTGCGTTAAGCAGAACTTAAGATGGTCAATGCGCCCGCCCATGAATGATAACTGTGCAAAGTAATCCATGACAAATAAATAACTTACTTATCCCAAATCCGAGACTATGCCCAAAGAACCAAACACCTCCCACTTGGCCGGGACTGATGTAAATCCAAGGAGGCCATTAAACAGTCCATGAGTCTTTAGTAGAATCTAGGCCAATCGTAAGGGGCTTGTTAGCAAATCATAAATCCTAAAGATACTAACTAAGGAGGGTAGCGCTCCCCACATTGCTCCTACCGGTGTAGGTTTGCCCTTGAATCACCTCGGCCACCTCCAGGGTGACCCACTAACTTAAACACATTAAAGTCTTTTGGGCCTCATCCCCCTGGTGAGGACTTCATACCTTGAGTTGGTCTTCTACCGGAATCAGCACGGACCAATCTTCGCACATCTCTGCGTTTAGGACAACAGTAGAGGGCAAGGTCCGTCTCGTCTAAGGGTCCTGGAAACACGGGGGGCAGGAAGGCCTAAGCAGGTGGCGACGGTCGGACTCTCGTAACCTACGGTCCTTGTCTCCGGATAGGTGACGACAATCCGAAAGAGCCGGAACTGTCCTGCAGGGCATTCTGGTCACGCGAACAAAACTCGATCTCCAACTTGGACCATTTCTTTCAGCTCTATGCCACTGGGCGGAGAATAAACAAGTTTGGTCCTGCCTAGTTCACTCCACTTAGACAAAACTTTGTGACTCCAGCTTGGACCGCCCTCAACCTGCGCCAAGGTGGGTGTCCAAGTTGGGACCCCGTCGCATCACTCCAGCTCGTCCAGTGGCGCCCTAGGATGAGGGATGAGCGGAGTCAAGTACTCCAAAGTTTCCTCTTGCCTCCTGCGCTCTTGGCATCAATAGGTCGTCATTGGTTAGGTTGGCTGCTGAGTACAGCAAAGTTTGGGAACTGCCCCGCAAGGTATGCAGCTGTTTTCCGCCGAGGCTATTTGAGAGCTCTTTTCATTAGTTTGACAGCTGCCTACTGGCTGGCTCCATTCTGTGGGGCGGTCAAGCGGGGTGGAAGACCCACTGCCATTCAGTTCCATTTTTTGCTGCATGTCCCTCGATCGAAATTTCTGCAGGGGTTGAACTGTCCAAGGCCTGTGCATGTTCTTAGTGCAGATTTGGCACCACGAAATTTGGGCCCCTGTCAGACCCCATAACTTCATGGATGTCCTCTCCAAGCGGTGAATCTCGTAGTACGCCTGAAGAAAGCACTCAGCCGACGGTCGTCTACAAGATTGGCATGGACAGCTCTGGAAGCCATGCAACACAATACCCCAGGACCCTTTTCCATGGTGCGGTCACTGGTCCATGGGCGTGTCCGGGCGTGTCAACTGGATCCACTGCCCGTGTTCCCTCGGGTCCTTGGCGTGTCTAGGCGTGTCACTGGTCCATGGGTGTCCAGGCGTGTCACTGGTCCATGACGTGTCACGGCTGGTCACTGGTTCCATGGCGTGTCCGGGCGTGTCACTGGTCCATGAGTGTCCATGGCGTGTCCAGGCGTGTCACTGTCACTGCTTCCGTGAGTGTCCACGGCCTGTCACTGGTCCATGCCATGGCGGTCCAGGCGTGTCACTGGTCCATGACGTGTCCACAGTGTGTCACAGGTCCATGGCGTTGTCCAGGCGTGTCACTGGTCCATGACGTGTGACCTGGACACGCCATGGACCAGTGACACGCCAAGGACTAGTGACAACACCTGGACACGTCATGGACCAGTGACACGCCATGGACACATCATGGACCAGTGACACGCCATGGACACGTCATGGACCAGTGACACGCCTGGACACGCCATGGACCAGTGACAACGCCATGGACCAGTGACAGGCCATGGCCAGTGACACGTCATGGACCAGTGACACGCCTTGGACACGTCCGGGCGTGTCACTTGGTTCATGGCGTGTGTCCAGGCGTGTCACTGGTCCATGGCGTGTCACTGGTCCATGGCGTGTCCAGGCGTGTCACTGGTCCATGACGTGTCCATGGCGTGTCCAGGCGTGTCACTGGTCCATGACGTGTCCAAGGCGTGTCACTGGTCCATGGCGTGTCCGGGCGTATCACTGGTCCATGACGTGTCTGGGCATGTCACTGGTCCATGGCATGTCCAGGCGTGTCACTGGTCCATGACGTGTCTATGGCGTGTCCAGGTGTGTCACTGCTCCGTGACGTGTCCACGGCGTGTCACTGGTCCATGGGCGTGTCTCAGGGCGTGTCACTGGTCTATGACGTGTCTGGGTGTGAGCAGCCTGGACACGCCATGGACCAGTGGACACGCCTGGACACGCCACGGGACCAATTGACACGCCCGGACACGCCATGGACCAGTGACACGCCATGGACCAATGACACGCCCTGGACACGCCATGGACCAGTGACACGCCTGGACACGTCATGGACCAGTGACACGCCATGGACACAGTGACACATCAGGACCAGTGACACGCCATGGACCCAGTTACACTTCATGGACCAGTGACACGCCGTAAACACGCCATGGACCAGTGACACGCCTGGACACGTCATGGACCAGTGACACGTCATGGACCAGTGACACAACGCCATGGACCAGTGACACACCTTAGACCAGTGTCAACACCTGGACACGCCTTAGACCAGTGACACACCTGGAACAACGCCTTAGACCAGTGACACACCTGGTGGGGAAGTGGATTAGGAGTGGGCAAAATATATCGTAGACAATAAAAAAAAAAAAAAAACTTTCCGTGAACGCCAATTGAAGATATGCCTTTATTGTATTAATCTTTTTTATTTTCCAATACTTATTGACAATTAGAGAAGGAAAGATGCCCATATGGTCTAATGTGTGCCTAAAAAAAGCCAATCACTGCTTTATTTGTACATTTCAGTAAATATTGAGCCTTTTTGGATGTGTTTTTTTTTCTTGTGTTTCTTGAATCTGATTTTTAATGTTAATATATGTTAGTGCATGTTTTGCAAAGATGTGTGTAGCACTTCAGAAAATAAAAAGCTTCAATTTGTCGATCATTACACTGTCTCTTATCTATAGATTCCATGGCAAGCAAAACATTGCAGATCATTTTGTGTAAACCATTTTTTTATTTTAAAGATATCGTAAGACAATGTCGTTTATCGGGTGTTGGGTGATAAAAGTATCAATGATAATTTAATTTTTTGGACCATATCGCCCACCCCCCTAGAATGTGATGCCATGCTTGCTGTTTGGCACAGTTGAGTTCTGAGTGGTTACTGATATAGTTTGTGTCGTGATTGACAGTTCTCTCGTTGGTAAGAGGGCCTGTTATGTCTGTAAACACCTTTTGTTGCTTGATCTCATTTATTCTTTTAGAAGGAAGTGATTGTAGGACGTTCCAAGCTTTTTATAGTGCAGGATAGAGACGGTGAAGCCAGTTGAAACTAGGAGAATAACTGGAATTACAGTTGAAGGTTTCAACGGGAATACATGACAAAGTTTGGCAGTCTGACTGAAGAATAAGCTTGCTGACACGTCGCTTAGTGTTATGCAGCAGACAATTTCAAACTCTTAAAAAAGCAAGCCATCTCCATAGATTTTTGATTATTATAATGATGTGCCGTCAGTCTCTTTTGGCCTCAGTATCCATGTTGTCGCCTTTCACGAAACTGGTTATCCACACTGTATGTGTAGTGTTGACCTGGCCTTACTCACCATGTGTTCCTTTCAGAACAGGTTGTCCACTGTGTAGTGTGTGTGCGGACCAGGCCTCACAGACGCATGTGTCCTTTCAAACCAGGTTATACACAGTGTATGTGTGGTGCGGACCAGGCCTCACTGGACCATGTGTCCCTTCAAACTCGACAGGTTATACACAGTGTATGTGTGTGCGGACCAGGCCCGCTCTGACCTTGTGTCCTTCAAACCAGGTATACACAAGTGTATGTGTGGCGGACCAGGCCTCAACAGACCTGTGTCCTTTTCCAACCAGGTTATACACCGTGTATGTGTTGCGGACCAGCGCCTCACAGACCATGTGTCCTTCAAACCATGTTATACACAGTGTATGTGTTGTGCGGCTACCAGGCCTCACAGACCAATGTGTCCTTTTCAAATCCAGGTTATACATAGTGTGTGTGTGTTATGATGCCATCACTAGACCTTTGTAAACCACACTGTCCTTATAGACCCGGTTTTTGAAAATTCTTTACAACCCCTGAAAAGTCTTGAAAACAGTCATTTTTTATATCTCAGTGCAGTCAAAGGAATCTTTAAATTTAAAGGCCGCGTATAGGTTTCAGTGATTTTTTTCATGATCATTGATATGATTTTCGAGGCTCTAGCACCATCGGGAACCCAGTGTCCCCCGTATACCTATGACAGTCTGGTTTAAAGGGATTAGAAAAAATTCCCTTCCAACGTCTCAAACGTGTGTGTTTGTGTGTGGTGTGTGTGTGTGAGTGTGTTGTGTGTGTGTGTGTGTGTGAGTGTGGTGAGTCCACAAACACGGAGGTAGCACTATCTGCCTTTACGCATCATAGCGCTGGTTTGGATAGGTGTCTACTCTGGGTCCACCTGTTTCTGATCCCTCAATTCCAAGTCAGCAGTGACCCTTGTACAGTGTGGCCAGTCTGAAAAACAATCCTTGAGACGGCCACTATACAAAAAACAACAGTTTTATCAGTATGTGAATGAGATTTTTTTTCTATCTAAAGTCTAAACCAATTTTGGAGCACACATTGGCAATCCCAGCATGCGCGATATAAATAAAGATTAACATATTATCTTAAACTAATGAGACATGTTAGACCAGAAACTCGCTAAAAAAAAACAAGACACAAATCTCAAAAAAACCTTCAAACGTTAAAATATATTATGTACTTTTTGTACTGTGGTGTTTAAATATCTATCGTTCTTTGGTTTTCACTTTAGGAACTTTCCCTTTACACTTGCAACATTTATCTCAAAGCATTATAATCCCAACTAATTTAATAATTGCAGCCCTATCAAATGAAGTCAATATGAATTGGAGCACATTTCAGAGCAGTCTCCTGTGCTGCGTGCATCTGACCTTGTCAGGTGCATAGTCAAAACAAAAATGTCACCGCTTGCAATATGAATTGGGTGAATTGGGTAGAGTTTAACTCAATAATATAATACTTTTACAGCTAATCCTAATTCCCTCTTTCTTTTTAGACGAAGTCTATAATCAATAATCACTTTTAACACAGATTCTAATTTAAATGTTTGAAAAACGGCTTTTGTAACTAAAATAAAAATACATGACAAAATTCTCACAAACAGCTATGAAATATATCAGAGATACAATAATGGCCTCAAAAAATAAGCAGCAGATTTAAAAAGAAAAGAAAAGCTTTTTAGCACTAATCTTTGGATTTAGAAAAACATAATAATTCAAAACTTATTCACTAATGGTGTTTAAAAA